CCCCCCCCCCCCCCCCCCCCCCAACTTATGGCTTTTCAGCTTATAAGCACTTTTAGTTTGACCAACACTTTTACTAGTTTATCCGTAATAATATTTTCTAATTCACAAAATATGTTTCCCAAAATAAATTTATTGACTTTCTCTTCATTCCATATTCATTATTAATTCTTTTCTTTATAAAGAAATTTTTAATTTATAATCCTTTGAAAAAAATTCAAGGGTATTTTAGTCATTTTAACAAAAGAATAGATTATCATAACTTTTTAATCAAACACATCAACTGTTTATTATCAGTTTCAACACTTCTATCTAAACACGTAAATGATTATTTTAAAAATCAGTTTCATCACTTAAAAATACTTTTCAGCACTACAAGCTTATCAGCTATTTACAATCAGCTAATCCAAACGGGCTTTATTTCTGCTTCTTCTCAAATTTACTTTTTTTCTTCAAAAATATTGATCAAGCACCTTAACTTTGAAAAAAAATCACTTTTGACCAAGTAAAAAGCTTGGTCAAACGTGCTATAACACTGCCATTAGTCTTTCTCTATATGACTAAAGGTATGCTTTAACAATAAAACAAATTAGTTGTTGTTGTCTTCTTTCTATTTTCTACTATACTAGTTATTACATTTATCTATAATGTTTTAAAGAGTATGTGTGTTTTAACGGAGGAGAAACGAGTAACTTAAGCGGAATAATATTGTGATGAGTCATGGTGGTTTATGTCTTTGAATTTGTTGGGAGAGAAGAGAGAAAATGCCGGTTACTCAATATTAATTTTATTTTTTAATTTAAATTAATATTTTTTCTTAATTCAACTTTATTAATTTTCTCCTGTAACCAATGAAATTATACTTTTAATGTCTTTACAAGGAATTAAAAGATTAATATGAAAATAGTTGAAAAAGGTATGAATAGAAAAAGACACATACATTGGGTCGTTTAGTTGCGGGTTAGAGTTATGCAAGTATTAGTTATACATGTATTAGTTATGCAGAAATAAGTAATGCATGGATTAGTTACGCATGTATTAGTTATACATGAATTAGTTACGTAGGGATTATTTTTTTGAATATTTGGTTTGTTGTATTAGAAATTGATACACATTATATAAAATTTAAAGTTAAATACTTATTTACTGATTTTGTCTCTAATAGATTGAGAAGAGGAAGAGCCTAGCAGTCAGGCATGAGTACTCTCCAAAGGGTTTGATACAAATCAATTAATCGAAGGAGGCCTTTATGTGTAAAGTAATAGGGGTAAATTTGTTATTTTAATATTTTATACATGTATTACTAATACATATATTAGTTATTCCATCTTTTACCCCGCATAAAATAATACAAAGATTGGCTCATAACTTATACGTGTATTATTTATGTAGAATTGTAAAATGACAACCAAATATGGTATTACTTATGCTTAATTTTGTACAAAATAACTAAAGGCTACCAAACATTGTATAAGTTATGTTGCCCCCAATACATGGGTTCAAATTGCAAATAACTCAAATTTATAAATTTAATATATTATATTTTAAAAGGAATTTAAAAAACGAGTTTAACCTCTTTTGCCAAAATAGTTAAGAAAATTTAGCAAAAATTTAAAAATGAGTTTGATTCCGACTACCAAGTTTGCTTCCGACTACCAATTTCTAACATGCAACATACCAGTGTTATTTTACAAGTGGAGGGTCGGGGAAAGATAAGTTGTACAAAGTGAGACTCTTTCGATAGAAACTCGGCTAAAAAAACGTTTTCAAAGCAAATTTATAAATATAAGAATAAAGAAGAAAGATGAAAATGTTAAAGAAAATAAAAGTATTGATAGAAAATATAGTAAAGATAATCAAAATATCCATTTCAACTTTTCAGGAAAGAAAAATCAAAGGTAAAAAAAATGAAAGAAAAATCAAATTCAATAAAATGATATTATTATTTTTTAATTTTATCCAAATACAAACAAATTATAAATGCGGTCAACCACTTCTTAGGACTCTCTGCAGCTTTCCCCATTTCTTCGGCCACTCCCCTTTAAAAATAAATTATTACCAGAATTACATATTATAATTAATTATCATCATCTATACAGTTTAGTGCAATATTTATTCTTAATTAATATAATATAATAGTGTATATTGTTTTCCTAATTGACGTACTATGACCATCTTTCCACGAAATCCAACTATTTTTCTTATTGGAATCAAACTCCATAATCAACGTTCCAATAAAAATCAGTCAAAACTAAAAAGCGACGGCAGTTTGTGTAAATCATCTAATTTAAGCCTCATTTCTTATATGTAATCACTCCCGCTCATTCCCCCCAACCTTCTCCTTCTAATCTTCCTCTCTCAAAACCCTAAAGCTAATACTCCACTGACTCTGAGAAAAATTCAAGAGCTCTCATACATCTTAGCATTTACCAAAGACCCATTTGAACTTGTTATTGCTCTTTTGGTATCTTTATTGCTTGAAGGATAATATCAGTTCTTTCCTTGTAAGTTCACACATTTAAGCTTTTTTCTTATATAAATATCTGCTTTAATTAATTGTTGTAATAATTGAACACCCTTTTCCCTATTATGCTTGCTCTTTAATTTTTGGCAACTTTTTTGCTTACTTCGAAAGTTGTTTTATTTGTTGAGTTTTGTGTTAATTTAGCTTTGAGTGTGTTCACTTCCTCCATCATTTTGGGTTTCAGTGCATTTTCCGCGTAGGGTACGTCTGTTTGATGGTTAATTTGTTAAAAACATTTTTGGGTTAAAGTGGTTTTTTTCTTGATAATGAAATGATTAAGTGGGTTTTCTAATATTGGGAAAAATATTTGCAGATATGCTTGTGTTATGGGAAGTCCAGAGGTATTAGAGAATGGGGCTGTGAGTAATGGGAATGGTATAAAATCACGCGATGAGGATGACCTCGAGGGAATGACAAACGGTGGGTTTGAGAACATGGTTAATGGTGGAAAGGAAAATGAGAATTTGGGTGATGAGATATTGGAGGATTTTGATACTTATTGGGAAGATATCAATGACAGCTTAATGGTATCGAGGATGGTGAGTGACTCGGTGATTAAGGGAATGGTGACTGCTGTGGAGCAAGATGCGGCTGAGAGGCTAGCTGCTAAGGAAATGGAATTAACCAACTTGAAGGAGTATTTGCAATTTCATGATGGGGGTCTTAGCAAAATTGAATCTCTTGGGTCATTCACGTTGCAGGATGAGCTAGAAAGCATGAAATTTCGGAAACACTTGAGTCTATCAGATGTTTTTATGGAGCATGACAAGATGGGAGACTTTCTTGATGGGCTAAGAAGTTCGGCAAAGGCTGAATTCAAGAAGTTGAATAAGAGTATTTATGAGGTTAGAGGATCCAATTGTATCAGGAACATCAGCCCTCGCTCTGAGATGGTGGGACTAGAAGGTATTCTTCAGGAGAAGGATTCTGGAATCTGGGATCAGGTGGACAAAACAATAGATAACCTGAAAATGATGGTGGAAACCATCTTTAAGCGAATGGATGATATGCTACAATTGTCCAAGACATCACTTGGTCAGTGGCAGGAGGAGCATCTCACTGAAGTGGAGCTTGAGGCCATGGTAATGCGCAGTGTAATTCGGACTGTGCAGGAAGACTTTGAGTACAAATTGTGGGACCAGTATGCTCAATTATGTGGTGACCGAAATGAGAAGTTGAATGACATCTCTAGTTTACGGACGGATTTGGAAGCTGTTTTAAAGTCATTGTCAAGTTCAGAAACAGGGCATATGATTTCCCATGGATTGCATGATGCTGATTTCTTTGCACGCAAGACATCAAGTGAGCATGTGACTTCTTCAAAAGCTGTTTGGGATGGAAATGAGAAGATGGGCGATTCTAAGACTGATATACCTGAGAACTTTGATGCTGCCACATTGAAGCACATGTCAAGAGACGAAATAGTGAACCATTTCAATAATATACTGACAAAGATGAAGAGACACCATGAGTCCATTCTGCAAAAGAAAACCGATGAATATTTTGTTCTAAGAGCAGATTATCTAAAGCTTAGAGGAGGCTCTGCTGTGCCACACAAAAAGGATAAGGGTGAATTTGATGTTTTAAGGAAGAAGATTCCAGAAATTATATTCAAATTGGATGATATTCTTGTGGAGAATGAAAAACATCCTGCATTTACCCAGGAGACTCTAAGTTTCGGTAACTTGAAGGATAGGCTTGATAGCCTTCTTTCTGAAAATCACCAGCTCAGAGACTTGCTTAGAGATAAGAAAAATGAAGTTAAGTCCCTTTTGTCCCAGGTTTCCGATGCTACTGAGAAGAGGCTGCAACATTCTTCTGTGGAAGCAGACATGCTAANGGAGAAGAGGCTGCAACATTCTTTGGCGGAAGCAGACATGCTAAAACAGATAGGAGATCTCAATGTAGCCATGGAACAGTCACTCATAGAAGCTTCTGTAAGGGAAGAAGTGTATACCTGTTTTCTAAGGGATCTTAGCAGGGGGACAGGAAATGAAGTTGAGGAATTAAACTTGGGATTTGATATGATTAATGATAGTAGTGATACTGATGCTGGACGTACTAGAAAGGTTGAAATTGAAGATTTAGATTTGGAGTGCCTGATTATGCAAGAAACTTGTGGAGTGATTTTCGGTGAAGGCATCAAGGAGGCTAAAGACATTCTCAAAGAACTGTATTGTGAGTATTTGAATGAAAAAGAAATTCGAATATCTCTTGAGACCAAAGTTAGTCAGATGGAAAACGAATTGAAATTCGAGGTTGAAGAGAAGGACAGGCTAAAGCAAAATGTTTCTGAGCTGGAAACGTCTGTGAACGAAAAGGAAAGGTTAGCAACAGATGCTTCAGCTGCTCTTGCAAAAGAGAGGAAGCAATTTGAGCAGGTGTGTCAAGAGTTAAATACTGTGAAAGAATTTGCAAGTCAGCAACAAACATTAGCTTCTGGGTGCAACAAAGAAGTAAATGTAGTAAAAGGCCAGTTGGCAGAAGCATTGGAGCAAATTGTAGTATTGAAAGAGGAGGCAGTACAATTAAATAAAAGTCTTGAGGAGAAGGCCGAGGAGTTAAAAGAAGCTAATCACAGGGAAGATATGGCCCTTGCTATCTCTGAAGAGAGGCAGACTGTTTTGTCCTCACTTGAAGCAAAAGAAATAGAGCTAAGAAAGCAGGTGGAAACAATTATTGGTAATATAAATGAATCATCAAAGATGCTTGCTGATTTTGAATGCAGGGTGACAGGAAGTTTGATAACAAATAATGCCAGGTCAGTGCTTCCCTAACCATTTCGATAAGTAATTGGAATATCATAGTGCCAATATGTACAGAAAGGCTTTTTGTCCCTTCAAATACGCAGAGAATCCAAAAGGTTGACAAAAGAACACCCAAAAGTTACTGCAGATTACACCAAGAACATAACATTTGTAAGACACTACTTTCTAAAACAAACACTGATATGGACTTGTTTTCAGAACACCTGTGTTCTGTTCTTGTCATAAGGACCTAAAAATAAATAAAGGGATGCTATTCTGGTGACCGTTATACTTTTTTGTTTGTAGCAATTTACCAATTCATCTGATTTTGTGGCATTGTGCCCTTTCATCTTTTCAAATTGCAGCAATCTCCCCCTTTTGTTAGCTTTTTCTCTCAAAACAAGAGCCTAGACCTCATGTACCTCACAAGTCAATGATACTAGTGTAAAATTGATAAGATCTATGTCTTGAGTAGCACCAATTCTTTTTCTATTTTCTTCTCCTCTTCTCTACATTGCTAGTGCCCCTC